CGCCCCAGCTGCCAAGCTCAGCCCCACACATCCAGCCACCCCCTGGCCAAGCGCCCCACGTGGCTCCGGCCGGCCCCAGCCGCGCCCCCAGCCCCGAACCCAGCCTCCCCCGCCGGTGGCCAAGAGACCACGCCTCCCGCCCCATCGCGTCCCCCGCTAGCCCCACACCTCGGTTACCCCCGCAACGCCGCCCATCCCCGGTGCTCCATCCGCCCCCCCACCCGCGCCTGTGGCCCTCCGGCCCCCGCCAGGCCCCGCGCGCAAGGCTGGCCCTCGGCGCCGCGCTGGGAGCCCTCCAGCCCAGCCGCAGGGCGCATCCTTCGCTCCCGCGGAGCCTCCGGGGCGCACCTGCTGCTGCCGGGGCCGCCGCCGCCGCCTCCGCTGGTGCCCGAGCTCCGCCGCCGGCCGCCATTCTTCTCGCCAGCACCGGCTGCGGCTCGGCCCCTGCCTGCCTTCCTTCCCCTGCCCGAGAGGCGCGCTCCGCCCCGATCGCTGACAGCTCGCCGCGGCCCGGCAGCGTCTGAGCTCAGCGCGCAAGAGGAGGCGGAGGCGGAGGAGGCGGAGAGCCGGAGGAGGAGGAGGAGGAGGAGGAGGAGGAGGAGGAGGAGGAGGCCGCCCGGGCCAAGGGGGCTCCGGAGGCGGAAGCCGGCGCGGGATCGGGCGCAGATCGGCGCTGGGAACCGGGCGGAGAAATTTCCCACGCTTCCCGCTCCGCGTCCCCAGCTAAGAGCAGCCACCCGGCGCTCCGAGCCAGGCGGGGCCGGATCCCCGCCCCACGGGAGGAGGGGGGGGGTCGGGCAGCCCAAGAGGCGCCCCCCGTCCCACACACCCTCAGCCCCGTAAGAACCCAGGCGGTGGCAGAATAGGAACGGGCCCAAACCAGGAAACAGCGGCTGCGTTTCAGCGGAGTTTTCGCGCACAAGCGCCATCGTTCGTTGCGACATCCCCAGGCCTGGCAAGCCTCGCCGGAATCACAAAACCTTTCGCCCAGGAGCTTCGGTGAGTTTAGCCTGCGGACAGAAGGCATCGTGGAATGGGAGCGTTGGAAAGGACCCCCCCCCAGGGGCATCTAGTCCAACCCTTCAATGCAGGAATGTCAACTAAAGCATCCCTGTACGAATTCCTGGAGGATTAAGGGTGTCGTTGGCTGCTAGCCCCCGTGGCTGTATCCTGCCTTCCCTCTCCGAGGGAGCATACCTTTGAATACCACATCCTGGGCATCACAGGTGTGCTCAGATTTTGCTTGTGGGGTGTTTAGTGGGCACCTAGTTGGGCGCCGTGAGAACAGGGTGCTGGACTAGACAGGATCCAGCAGGGATCTTATAAGAAAAATGGCAAAACCCAGTCAGGCCTTGAACTAACCAAAACGTAACCATCTGTTATGATTTTTTCTTCTTCAAATTTGTACACCATCTGAAGATCCCAGGGCGATTCACAACATAAAAGTACAAAAGGAAAATACAAAATACGTAATAAAACAAAACAAACATAATAAAACAAAAACAAACCAGTAACATCCCCCTGCCGCCCACCAAGCACATTTAAAAGGCCTTGGATCTGCCCAAGGCCTGGTTGAAGAGGAACGTTTTTGCCTGGTGCCTCAAGGTGTATAATGAAGGCGCCAGGCGGGCCTCCGTGGGCATCCCACAAATGGGGAGCCACTGCAGAAAAGGCCCCGTTCTGGTGAGAAGGGCCTCAGTGGATGATCTCAGGTTCCCAGTTGGTTCATATGGGGAGCATATGGGGAGAGGTGGTCCTTGAGGTACCGCGGTCCTGAGCCATTTAAGGCTTTAAAGGTCGAAACCAGCACTTTGAATAGGGAGCCAGTGCAGTCGGGTCAGGGTCGGTGTCAGGATCGAACCTTCTTGCGCCAGTGAGCAACCTGGCTGCAAAATCCTGCAGCCGCTGAAGTTTCTGAACCGTCTTCAGAGGCAGCCCCACATATAATGTGCTGCTGTAATCTAGCCTAGAGGTTACCAGAGCATAGGCAGAAGTTAGGCTGCCCCTGTCCAGTTAGGGCAGGGGTCAGCAAACCTTTTCAGAAGGGGGCTGGTCCACTGTCCATCAGACCTTGTGGGGGCCGGACTATATTTTGGGGGGGAAATGATGCAAGAGCACCATGAGCCCTGGTGGCTGCTTACCTGTGTCTTGCGAGCGGCAGGGGCTGGTGGCGGCGGGACGATGAGTGGCATGCGAAAGGGCTCCAGAGAAGGGCTGCTTACTGCTGGCACCAACAAATCCCAGTCCCCTTCCTTCTCTAGGCAGGACAGGGAGAAGCCAGGAGGAGGGAGGGAGGAGGCACCAGTGCCATCATGTGAAGGAGAGGGAAAGAACGCGCGCATTGGCGATCCACGAGGTGATTCCCAGACCGTCCGCAGGCCGGATCCAGAAGGCAGTTGGGCCTGATCTGGCCCACGGACCTTAGTTTGCCTACCCATGAGTTAGGGGCACAGCTGGGCCACCAGACGAAGCTGAGGGAAGGCACGCCAGGTCTCCTGAGTCTCAAGCGACAGCAGTGGATCCAGAAGTATCCCAAAGCTAGGCACCCACTCCTTCAGAGGCAGTGTAACCCCATTAGGAGCAGGCAACTTCCCCGCCATCTGGTCTGGAGAACCACCCACTAACAGTGCCTCAGTTTTATCGGGATTGGGCTTTAGTTTATTGTAAAGGAGAGTTGTGTGTTATCAGCATATTGCTGACAATGTGGGGATGACCCCACTCAGCAGTTTTCTGTAGATGCTGAACGGCATAGGGGATAAAATCAAACCCTGAGGAACCCCACATTGAAGGCTGCTCAGGGCTGAAGAGCAGTCCCCAGGCATCACCCTCCGGAAATGACCATCCAGGGAGGATACCAGAGCCACTGCAAAGTCACTCCCCCTCCTTGACCCTCAAGTCTGCAACACCCCGAGATTCTACCTGCCCCCAACTTATTAAATTGTTCCGGGTTTTGCACAGCCTCTGTCACTCATTCCAATAGAGCCTCTGCTCATTATAGTCAAAGTTGGCACCGCCAACTCCATCTTTATTTATTCCTCATAGTCAGAGGCCAAGCTAGCTACTGTTCTGTATATGGCCGTCAAGGCAGGCAGGCTGGCCTGGTGGTGTGCCTAGAGTAAGGCCCAGCAAGTGATTTGGGTAGTGGAACTGGATGGTGGGGGGCGGTGCAATGATTCTGGACCAGTGATAAGAAAGAGGAGCATGTACCCAACTGCTTGCTGTTGTCAAAGGGTTTGTGGGCTCACTTCTTTGTCCAGGAGTGGCACTGAAAGGGTTCCTGGGCATGGCAAGCTGCAGGGCAACACAGGAGTTGCATCTGAACGTGGGTTTGCACCTCTCTGCGTGGCTCGTGTAGGATTTGTTGGGGGAAAGATCTGAGCTGCACTTCCCACTAGGTTCCTTTTAGCCCTTGCTGAGCAGCTCAGTAGGCACACGGGTCTTCCCAGTTTGATCTCTTCCTCGTGCTCACATCTCTGCCATGCTGAGACAGCAGCAACAGCACTCGGCTGCTTGTCTGTCCCGGCGCTGCCTCTCTTCTTCTCAGCTGGTGCCAAGCCAAAAAGGTCTCTCGGTGCTCCCAGACTGTTGCTGTTTCTGGGTGGTACTCAGTCACAAACCAGCAAATTCAGGCTGCACGACTGTAATCAGATGGAAGGACTTGTGCAATAAGCCTCTTCCCCCACCCCAAATTGGGCTTTTTGCGGCAAGGAAAGTGGCGGCGGGGAAGTCCATTAGCTTTGGCACACCGTCATCTGGCCTCCCCACAAAAAAAAGCCAGAGGGATTGCTCATTAAATAGCCCCTAAAGGTAAAGAGACCCCTGACCGTTTGGTCCAGTCACGGACGACTCTCGGGTTGCGGCGTTCATCTCGCTTTACTGGCCAAGGGAGCTGGTGTACAGCTTCCGGGTCATGTGGCCAGCATGACTAAGCCGCTTCTGGCGAACCAGAGCAGCGGATGGAAACACCATTTATCTTCCCCGCCAGTGGTACCTATTTAACTACTTGACTTTGACGTGCTTTCAAACTGCTAGGTTGGCAGAAGCATGGACTGAGCAACAGGAGCTCATCCCGTCGCGGGGATTTGAACCGCCGACCTTCTGATCGGCAAGCCCTAGGCTCTGTGGTTTAGACCACAGCGCCACCCACTTCCCTAAATAGCCCCTAGGTCATCTAATTTCCCTGAAAATCTGGATGCATGCTTAATGAACAGGAAGTGCCCAGAGACTTGATTCCCCCTCCCACCATGAAGACTCGTTTCTCACTCTCCTCATATTAATTGGGTGACTGTGAGTCCGAGTGTTAAGAGATTATTTTTTATCCCACTAACACCTGGTCTCAAGACTCACCCAGTTCATTTGATGGGCAGTAAGATTCAGGTTGGGACGCGGGTGGCGCTGTGGGTAAAACCTCAGTGCCTAGGACTTGCCGATCGCATGGTCGGCAGTTCGAATCCCCGTGGTGGGGTGAGCTCCCGTCGTTCGGTCCCAGCTCCTGCCCACCTAGCAGTTCGAAAGCACCCTTAAGTGCAAGTAGATAAATAGGTACCGCTTTATAGCGGGAAGGTAAACGGCGTTTCCGTGTGCTGCTCTGGTGCCAGTTTGCCAGAGCAGCTTCGTCACGCTGGCCACGTGACCCGGAAGTGTCTGCGGACAGCGCTGGCTCCCGGCCTCTAGAGTGAGATGAGCGCACAACCCTAGAGTCTGTCAAGACTGGCCCGTACGGGCAGGGGTACCTTTACCTTTAAGATTCAGGATAAACAAAAGGAAGAGCTTCAATTGAACACACTGCAGGGAATTAACACCACAAGTTGTGGCAATGGCTGAATTGATAAATCAATGGATGGTAGGTCCACTGTGTCACTGAAATGATGGCCACCCAGATTGGCTTGGGAAGCCTGGCTTGAGCAGAGTGTCTCTGAATAGCAGACACTGGCTGGGGAGAAGTTAATGGGAGGGCTGCTGTGAGCTGCTTAGGGGCCACCTGGATGGCCACTGGGAAACAGGATGTTGGATGTTCCTCATCCTGTTGCCCTCACTGTGTTTTGGCCTACAAGTCCCTGGCTGGGGCTGAAGGGAGTTGTAGGCACTCTGAGGGTTGACAAAGTCTGGACTAAATGGTTCAAACAGTGCTCTACTCAAGTCCTTATCAAAGCACAGGAAAGCTTTAGCCTATATTCCCAGTCATAGACAGAGTAAACCAGTTACAACAATGACAACCACGGTCTGGTCACACACTGTGCATTTAATAGAAAGTTAAAACAACTGAAACTCTACCTTTTAAATGTAACGGTACAGCATTTCCTTCCACATTAATGGTATTTCAACATTAACTTGCATCAATGCAACACAAGAGATGCAGCCGAATACTGCAGTTTGGGTTGTGTTGGTTTTTTCTATGTCCTAGCACAGCTATACTACCCATGTATTAACTGTTATCAGTGAGCAGTTTGAAAAGCTTTGTACTCTAGAGCTATTGGCTGCCATAAAAGAGTTCAGGTTTGGGAGTTTGGGTTAAAAACAATTTTTTAGCAAGATATTGTTGCCTGGTCTGTGGGTCACAGTACCCTTCTGAGATTGGAACAGTTTGTATGCAGTGAAAGCACCTGTGAATGGCCTCGTGCAAAAGCTAACATTTGAAATATCCTATAAAGAGATTTCCTGCATTTCAGAAACATTGCAGCCATACATTTAAAAGCCTGGTGGTGATTGTGTTCATAGGGTTTCCCCCCAAATAAAACATTTCCAGTGTTTTAAATTCCATCCCAAACCACTGAGGATACAGAGCTTTGGGGCACGGTTGGAGTGTTTGGACTCGACATTCCATATTATTGCTAATGATTGCAGAATGCTGTTTCTCAACTCAGGCTGGCTTTTGAGGTGGCTGTGAAGCAGTTCTAAGCCCCTTATCGTGAGCTTCTTGGAATCAATTTGGCCCCAGACAGACAACAATTTACCCTCATGCAGAACAAGCAAAAATTCAATGAAACTTCTATCTCTTTTGCTCTAAGTCATCAAAAGGGGAACCTGGGAAACAGGGCTCCCCCCCTTGTCCTCCTCCTCCTCCACCACCAGTTTGGTTTGCAGTGTGGCATTCTAGACACTTTGCAACAAAGACGTGGTCAGTCTCAGAAGCATTTATAATTCACGTTGGAGGTGAGAAGGAAGTGATGTGAGAGAAGTGAGGCGTCAGAGAGGGACCCCTTTGGCATCACATTTGCTGGAATGGGAAGATGCAGCAAACTCCCCCAGGCAGATCTTGTCAAAGCAGAATAAGCATAACCCTGGCTCTTTTCTAAGAAAAAGAAGGGCACAATTTAAGTTATCCTTCTCAATGGATACAAGAGGGGGCGGGGAATGGGGGACAGATGGCTCCTGCTGAAAGGCCAAGCAAGAAGTTGCCTATTTGGGGAAGAGGTGTGTGGGAAGGAAAGAGCCCCTCAGATCAGCCAGGTACTTTGTATGAATTCCAGCATCCCAGAATGGTCTTTTACCAGATCTGAGAGCTGCAGGTGAGAGGGGAAAAGATTCCAGACTAGTGGAAGCTGCCTGGTGGGGTTTTCATTCTAGATAAACACGGCACAGCACACACCTACGCTATATGGGGAGGGAGGGAAGGAGGATGCAGAGCTAGATCCAAGCAAGGCCTCCTCTCTACTTCTTCTTCTGCATTACTATGGAAACACTCCTGATGTCTCCCATGGCAGTGGCTCCCCCTCTTTATTCCCCCGCCCCAGCCGACAGTGGAACATTTGCTGAGAGCAAACTCCCTCTAGACCTGTGTGTGTGTGTGTGTGTGTGTGTGTGTGTGTGTGTGTGAAGCAAATAAGGTCACAGAATTGTTGCTAAAATAAAATAAACTTCCAAAGAACTGGAGGGAGTTGCTATGGGTAGGAGTCAAACAGGGCAGGTCTTTTCGAGATATTATATACCCCCTCACTTTCTCCATCTCATTTCCCAGTTCCTGCCTGTTAATTCAGTATGCATGGATCAGCAGCAGCAGCCTGCCATCTCCCGCCCGCCCACGCAGGCTATTAGTGCTTTGAGAAAGGTTTTCCTTCACACACACACACGCAAGCTCTGGCTACATATGCCATCAGGGTCATTCCTCCGACTGCAGTTTGAATCCCCTGTAGAAGCATCCTACTGAGGCTTGGTACCTGTCCTGTGTAGCCATCGTGTAGGAGATCACAGGGCTTTCTTCAGGGATCCTCAGCTGCTCTCTCACAGTGGGGTTCCACTCTGGATAAAGGACCTGTAAGGGAAGCTAGCTGTTACTCGGGCAGGTTTCTGCCCTTGCCTCATCATAAGCTGGATCAGGCCAGTGGCCCATCTAGTCTAGCATCTTGTCCTCACAGAGGCCAGCCAGGTGGCCCTGTGGGAAGTCAGCAAGCAGGACCCAATCACAAGAGCCCCTTCTACCTTCCTGGGGTTTCCAGCAACTGCTGTTGAAAAGCATTGACTGCCTCAAACTATGGAGGCAGAGCATAGTCATCATAGCATAGTAGCTACTTATGGTCCTCTCCTCCATCGCTCAGTGGAGTGGACTGGTAGTAGGTTGAAGACAGGCAAAATAAAAGTGTTACTTTGCACAGAATGGAGAGCAGATGTATGGAATCTGTTGCCATGAGATGCAGAGGTGGCACTGAAAGGGGCCTGGACAAAATCTGGCTGCCCAGCCATCACAGCTGTCAACCACAATGGCTATATATGCAAATACAAGTTGATATGGTTGTGGGGAGGGACACAGGGGAGGGGCTGTAGTCTGCATCTCCCGCTTGCGGACTTCCCAGAGGCACCTGGCTGGCCACTCTGGGGAGCAGGATTCTGGGCTAGATGCATCTTTGGGTCTGATCCAGCAGATGTTCTTCTGGAATGGCAGGAAGTAGTTGCAAACCAACAACTCCTTTTAATTTAAACACCACAACTAGGTAAGTTTTCCATACCTCTTCTACTTCACAGTGGGAAATCAAATAACTGGCCTTTCCCAACAAATGTTGACTTCTTGCAGTGATACAAACACAGGGGAAACTTGGCTGAATAAGGGAATTCAGTGAACTTTAGACTCAGCAAGCATCACTCACTGGAAGGTGCTAAGATTAATTCCCATCACCTGGCAACTGAAAGCGACAAATAGTCCTAGCAGGGGAATGATGGCTATCTGAAACCACCCACAGATTCTTCAGCCATCTCTCTGTTTATTTATTTTATTTATTGCATTTACCCCCCCTTTTTTCTTCAAGGAGCTCAAGGTGGCCGCGTACATGGTTCTCCACGTACCTCATTTAATCCCCACAGCAACAACCCTGTGAGGTAGGTTAGGCTGAAGGCAGGGACTGGCCCAGGGTTACCCAGTGAGCTTCAAGGCCGAGTGGAGATTTGAACCCTGATCTCCCAGGTCCTAGTCAGGTATCTCTAACCACTGCACCATACTGGCTCAACCACGATGCAACTCTGGATGTCTCTAAACACCCACATGCCTTTTAATTCACCTAAAAGTATGGCAGAACAAAGGCTACCTTCCCCTCCAGGAGCAGGAATCTCTCTGCTCATCCATGAAAGGAATTTCTCCACTTTTTAACTTTGCTCAGGTGGCACTGTGGGTTAAACCACAGAGCCTAGGACTTGCTGATCAGAAGGTCGGCGGTTCGAATCCCCGTGATGGGGTGAGCTCCAGTTGCTCGGTCCCTGCTCCTGCCAACCTAGCAGTTCGAAAGCACGTCAAAGTGCAAGTAGATAAATAGGTACCGCTCCGTCGGGAAGGTAAACGGTGTTTCCATGCGCTGCTCTGGTTGGCCAGAAGCGGCTTAGTCATGCTGGCCACATGACCTGGAAGCTGTATACTGGCTCCCTTGGCCAATAAAGCGAGATGAGCGCCGCAACCCCAGAGTCGGTCACAACTGGACCTAATGGTCAGGGGTCCCTTTACCTTCACCTTTAGTATTCCTTCAGGCTCTAACTCAGGGACAGGGAACCTCAAGAGTTGGGTTGAATGCCCCCCAGCCTTTCCATCTGGTCCTTGGGGCTCTCCCTATGCCATGCCCCTCCCCAGGCCACACTTCCTCTCCCCAGCCACGCCCATCACTGGCTGTGCTCTGTGCCCTGCTTGAGTGCTCTTGCCTGACAAGACAGTGTCCTTGGCCTGTGAGAATACATTTTGCTTGCCCTGGTGGAGAAACGGTGTGTGGGTCCATTCTGCCTCCTTGTGAGAGAAAGGATGCCGCAGGTGGTTCTGTTCCGATCATGAGAGAGGAGACCGAGAGGCAAGAGTCCCATTGCCGCACCATCTTTCTGGTGTGGGGAGCAGCTTGCACCCTTGTTTTTCGTGGCTTTGTAATTCTAGCTTACCTGCGCCTTGCTGCATTCGCCGAAGACTGAGTGCTCTTCATAGAGCTGGAAAGGTGGATTCAGGATGCTGAAGGGGCTCAGGGCGTCTTCTTCTTCATCATCATCATGGCACGTTATTTTTGTGGGCGAGTCAGCAGTTCCTCCTGCTCCTTCGGAGAATGGCTGGGGGAGAAGACCACCCCATTTAGCCTTTTTCAGCCTTTAAACAGAAAACAGGTATTTGCAAAGGCTGGAATGCTGACATTTAAGGCTTTTCCAGATTGCATATTTATCTTTGTGTGCAATCATTCCCTCGGTTATTATTACTCAGCTGCTGCATGGGATCCAGGCAAGTTTCCTCAAGGGAGTACTTCTGTTACAGGAAAACATATTCCAAGCATTCAACATGAAATACTTTGCTCCTGGGAAAATGCAGTTTTCACCCCATCTCGGTGTTACCACGGCCATCAGGAATACAGTGTGTGCCGGTTTCACAGGAATTTTATATAAAATATTTATATGCCACCCTGCAATGGAGCTTCCAGGGTTGCTTACAAACACAAGATGAAATACATAGATAATATACAATAACCAAAGCGATTCTTACTGGTCAGAGCCCAGACGTAGCTAGGGACAAGCAACACAGTTCCTCTTTCTATAACCATACTGTGTCTAAAATTCTGTTTTTAAAACTTTAGTTTTTAAAACTTTAGAAGCTGAGTGCTTCCCCTCCCCTCGTCTAGCTTATGATAAGGTGAGAGTCCACAAAGGGTTCTTAAACCATATAATAAGAAAATCCTTATATAAAACATGGATTAAGTATAGAGATCTGCTAGAACCTAAAATCCCTTGGTGAATCTCACTCATCAAAGTTGTGGGGGGTAAGAAGAAAAATATGAAGGGAAATTGGACAACATATAAAATGCTATTAAAGGGGGAAATAAACTGAGACTAAAGGATTTTGAGGAAATTCGTATATATCTGATAGATTGGCTCCAATATTTCCAACTTAATGAAAGATTAAGTGTAGACAAACAAAAAGGCTTTGCTGGAGAAATATAAAAACTAGAGGAAATCTAATCCAGCCTAAGGGAAAATATCTATCCCAGATGTATAACCTCCTCCTTGACTGGGAAGTTAAGGAGGAAGAGGTAAAATCAATTATGATCCGTTGGGCCCAGGACATCAGACATAATATATATGTGAATGAATGGGGAAGGCTGTGGAGAGAAGAGATAAGGTTCACTGCATGTTATAATTTGAGAGAAAACATAATGAAAACGTAATGCTGAACCAATGGTATTTGACCCCGGCCAAACTGGCCAAGATGTACAAGAAAAGCTCCGAAGTTTGCTGGAGATGCAAAAAAGGGATTGGTACCTTTATGCACATGTGGTGGGATTGTGCGAAGATAAGAGAATTTTGGGACATACAATGAACTTAAAAAGATCTTTAAATTCTTGTTTTTTTAAAAAAAACAAACCCCGAGCCCTTTTTGTTAGGCATTATGTCCATCGATATACAAAAAAACCACAGAACCCTCTTTATGTACATAACTACAGCGGCCAGGACTTTAATAGCAAAAAATTGGAAAGGTGATGTAATCCCCCACAGAAACTGATTGGCAAGCAAAGATGATAGAATATTCAGAACTTGCAAGGATGATTGGGAGAATAAGAGGAAATTCTAACCAGAAATTTAGTAAAGATTGGAGAATGTTCAAAGAATATCTTTAAAAGTACTGTAATAACACAACGTTCCTGACAGATTTGGATTGAATCTTGAAGTTTATGGAAATTATACAGTAATTTCCCCCCCTGATAATTAACTGAAAAGATTAATAAAAATGAAGTGAGTATAGACTAGTAAGGTATTACAAAGCACGATGAGGTGAATCAGAAGTTAATAGGGTATGTAATGTCAAATGAAGTGTTGTTAGTCAGTGTCTATGGTCTGTTTATGGTTTTTTTATGTTCTATGTAAATTGTTTTGTAATAAATAATAAAAAATATATTTTAAAAAACAAAAACAAAACAAAACATGTCTCTCCTTTATCGGTCTCTACAGGCACAGCAGGTGTGGCAGCTTTCCTTTTGTTTGACTTCGCCTACAAAAGTGCACTCCTCTGTTGTCTCCTGAGACAGACAGATGCCAACCAGCCCTGCACAGGTTTTGCAGTGCAACTGTGGCCCTTCCCAAGTTTGATTGTGCAATCCCCAGAGGTGTGTTCTCTACTTCTCTGCGGTCCAGACTAAAGCAAGAGTACCACAGAGAAGGTGTTGCCAGGCTTTCACGATTTTTGGGTGGGATTCAATCACATACTGGCAAATTCAGCTTGTGCCATTGTGGTGGTTTTGGTGCGCTTGTGCAGCAAAACCACTTCCTCTAAAGATCAGACTTTTTGCTATAAGGAAAATGATGAGTAAATGCAATGGAATTGTGGGATAATGCTCCCTTTGACACAACACTGGCAAAGAAAATGTGCGCAGAGGAGGGCGGCCCAGTCTGGAAACTAAACCTTGTGAAAAATGGTTGAGGGAGTTGGGGATGTTTAGCCTGGAGAAGAGAAGACCGTGAGAGGATATGAATATCTGAATATCTAATATCTGAAGGGCTGTTGCACTGAAGAAGCAGTAAGCTTGTTTTCCAGAGGGTAGGAACCAATGGATTCAAATGACAAGAAAGGTAAACCTGAGGAAGAATTTTCTGGTGGCAAGAGCTGTTCAGCAACAGAACTGACTCCCTCAGAAGCTGGCAGGCTCTCCATCATCAGAGATTTCTAAACAGAGGTTAAGTGGCCAAATGTCAGGAATTCTTTGCATTGCAGGGGGGTGGAATAGACGACCACTGGGGTCTCTTCCAACTCTACATTTCTATGACTTAATAGCCAAACTCATCAAATCCCTCTGTGTGAACAAATCAGGATGCATTATCAATTAACAGTTTGTCTGGAAGGGCCCTGGGACCCCAAGGGGACTCATAGAACCATGCTGAGTGATTCCCACCCCTAGCAGGTGACTGGGGTGTCAGAAGTTAACTTCCCATTCATGACAAAAGGTCTGTTTCCTTACTCATCCATGCTGCTTTGCCGCCGCCTCAGCTCCTCCAGATGATAGCAAACAGACAAGGCTCTGACATTTTCAAGTCTTTTTCGTTTTGGCCCCTTTCTCTTCTTCCGGCACAGCTCCTTGGGCGATGGGAGTTTCTGTGTGGTTGAAATAATCTGCCAGGGGAAAGGGTCTCTTTCGCCCTCAGCAGGCCTTTGCACTACACAGCCAGATGTCTGAAGGGATAGAGAAAGCAAGAATTTGGCACTGGTTCATTAAATAACATTACTATTTTGTGGTGGTGGTGATGATGACGATTGCAGAGGCAGAAATGGCCAAAGCTGGAATGTGCCTCTTCGGTGGCAACTGGGCAGATTAATACTTCAGAGAACAAAGGGTATTCACAAGCATCTTTTTTTCTTGAAAATTTATTGCACCTACAACTTATATTCGATTTCTCTAAAATAAGTTTGCGCTGATTAGCCAATTAGTCACTCTAATCAATGAAAATCATTCCCATCAGCTAAGATGCAGCCTTTAATTAATTGTTCAGCAGATTTTCGCTATTTTTATTCCAAGTACTTATAAAAACTGCAGGTGGCTGGGTGCATCATTTTACAAAGAAGATAAGTATGCTTTATTTATCTCGGAAGACATTGTTTTTCGCACATGATCATTTGTGCAGATTTAAATCAGTTGATTAATGATCAGTCAATGACTACCTGGCTGATTAACAAAGTAGAATTTATTTAATCAAGTGGCAGTTCTAGTAATCTCACCTCAAAATGATATTGTGGAGCTGGGGAAGGTTCAGAAAGAGGCAACCAAGCTGATCAAGAGAATGGGGTAGCTCTCCTTTTCAGGAAAGGTTGCAACATTCAGGGACTTTTCAGTATGTAAATATGGTGAGTAAGGCAGGATATGATAGAGGTGTATACAATTATGCTTTGGTGTGTGTAGGAAGTGAGCAGAGAGCAGTTATTTTCCCTCTCCCGTAATGCAAGAGCCCCACAGGGACCTCCAATGAAGCTGAATGTTGGGAGATTCAGAACAGACTAAAGCAACAGCTTCCTCTCAATTGTTGTTGTCATCGGCATCCATCTGTCTGGAGAGACAATGGAGTTCGCCTCCAGGGGTAAAGTCATGCGTCAGCAGCATTAAAGTGAACACCCCAGGGCACAAGTCTGGGCAGTGTGTCTGGAGGTCCTTGGCTGCCCAGATGACAAGACCTCCCTCTCGGCCTCACTGATGTGGTCCAAAGGAAAGCAGAACAAGACACTGGGCACCGGTTTGGCTGCAGCAGTTGCTAGAAGGAGGCGTACAAGGCACCATCCAACCATCTTAGGGACTCCACTCTGGATTTGTGTCAGGTTTACTCCTCAGCTTTTTCTTCTCCTGAAAATTTCCCACGAGGCAGTGGAGGTTTAGGGTTAGAGTTTTCCTTTTCCAAGATGGGCTCCCTTCCCAGACGGACACGCCCCACTTCCCTTCCCTCCACAGCACAGCCTTCTTGACCGTTGGACCCACTGTTGGATCCACCCAAGCCTGTCTTCGCATGCAGGGGAAGCCCCTAATTCACCAAGGGTTTGAGACCCACTGGCTACCCTCACCTGGTTTAGCCGGCCAGTCAAAGCTGTTTGCGGGGTGTGGCCGTTGTTGCCTGATGACAGCTTCCAGGTGAGAGCTGAGTGTAGGGTGGGGCCCAAAGGTGGACAAACAACCCCAGAAAGAGCATGACGTGTCCCCCACCAGAGAAAGTTAAACTATGGAACTTGCTGCCTCGAGATGTAGTAATCTACTTGGACAGCCCTCAAAATGATGTGTGAGAGATTTGTGAAGGATAAGGTGATCAGGTCTACTAGTCATGTGTACCACCTCCAATATCAGAACAGTCTGCCTCAGAGAATGCCTGTTGCTGGGCAACATGAGTGGGTGAATGCCACTGCGCTCTGCGGGGGACTGATGGAGTTCGCCCCCTTCTGTACAGTTGCCACCTGCCTGCTCCTTTCAGGAGGCCTCAATCAGCCCCCTCCAACTGGGCCTTTCAGAGGCAGTTCTGGACTGCCCTCAGATGGGCTTGCACTAGCCCATTGGGCAAGGAGAAGCCAGGGTGGTGCTAATGAGCCCAAGGAAAGGGAGGAGGGAGGAAGCGAGCTTACATTCCCTTCTGAATGGGAAAGAGGAGAGGAAACTGTCCCTGCAAAGACAGTGCACCCACAGCAAAACTTTCTGGGGAGAACGTTCCCCAGAGGCTCACCTTAAAACCCTCAGGCAATCAATCAATATATATTGAGGACACAGACTGTTTGTGCCAAGGTTTTGTTCCCTGGTGTGAGACCCCAGTGCTTCATTCAGAAGCAAGTTTCCGGGGTGTGTGGAGGAAGGGGGGTTTTCCCTGCGCCAGCTAACCTGCCAGCCCTCGACCTAATGAGCTCAGTTTCACTCAGCCAAGAGCATCCCTAATTAGCAACAGCCAGTGAGCTAAGTGTGGAGAAGTCATAACACTTGGAGATACAGCCGTGCATGTCGGAAGATAATTAATCCAAAGGAGCATAAGTGAGGAGACAGACCCAAGCTCCAAGAAATGCATCTCAATAAGTATTTATGGCTGTGTTTATTTATTTGTGTGTGTGTGTGGTTTTTTTTTAAATATTCACCCACATCTCTCCAAGAGAAAGTTTATTTAAGGGGTGGTGGTGGTGGTGAGTGGCAATCCAAGAAACCTGTTCTTATTGCCCATATGTACTTAGCCACAGCTAAGTACATATGACAGAAAATGGCAAAGGAACGTGGCACTGAAAATGTGCTTTGTCCTGGGGCTTTTGTTCTCAGGAGTGATTGCTTCCTACCTCCTCCTCCCAAGGAAATTGGAAGTGCAAAAGGCTGCCAGGAATGTCCCTCCCCTTCAATGAGAATAGGTTTTTTTTGGGGGGGGGAAAGCTACCATGATTTGAGTTAGAATTGCAAAGCAATCAATCTTTTTTTTTTTAATGTTTGAGAGGTGGCAGTGCTGCTGTCACACACCCAAAACATGAGACATTGCCATACGTACCATTTTTGTGTTATTCCTGTAACTGTGGGGGGCAGCCAGGAATGTTGTTTGCAAGATGAATGTAAGAGGGAACAGGTTTCGGAGCGGAGAGGCAGACTGTGGTGAAGCAGCCTCTTAGCCAGCCTCATCGAACAGAGCAGGGGGTGAGGAGAATCTGTACTCTCTAAGGTGAGGAAATTGACATCACTGTCAGGAACTGACTCACAACAAGAAGCAAGAGGATGCCGCCTGTGGCCTTTTGGACAGGGAGGGCAAGACACCCTTGCCAGCCCCAGCCCTCCCTTCTAAACTGGTAGGGGAAAAGAGGGAATTGGGAACTTTATGCTTGGTCCACCTTTTCCAACCCAACATAAGAAAAGCCTGCTAGATCAGGCCAGAGAGTGCCCATTTAGTCCAGCATCCTGTTCTCACAATGGCCACCTAGATGCCTGAGGGAAACCTGCAAGCAGGATTAGAGCACAAGAGCAACTCTCGCCTGCTCAGTTTCCAGCAACTGGTATCCGGAAGCATCGCTGCCTCCGACTGTGGGGGTAAAACACAATGATTGTGGCTAGTAGCCATCGATAGCCCTCTCTTCCTCCACGGTTGGTGGCCATCACTGCTTACTGTGGGAGGGCAAGTTCCCGTGCCTGTCTCCAGAATGTGCCTGAGCACATTGTGGGAAGATGGCATCGTCACTGGCACAGCCCCTTTTGGTGGGTTATGGCTGTGTGTGCAGCCTGGTTCTCTGCATTTCCCCCTTCCCTCCTGGGCTGAGTGGGTATAAGATACGGCAGCTGTTCTGCTGGTGGAGCAGCAAGGTATCTCCACCCCCAGCGTAATTTGCGTGCAGGATTGCTCAGTGTGTCTGGAATGCTCCACGTAAAATTACCTTCCATCTTTTCTGCAGTGCACACACTCCCGCTGGAAAGGTTTCAGGTTCCACAGAGCAAATGAGGTTTGCAAAGGGAAGTACACACACACACACAGCTGAGCTCACTAATCAGGGCAAACTCTACTTGCATTTTCCTATTTTTACATGGGGCATTAGTTCCGCAGGAAAGAAGCAAATGATTTCAAAGGAAGCCTCATCTTGCCATCCATGAAAACTTACCAGCAGGGACGGTGCCTCGTTATATTCTTCCATCCAGCAGGAGCTGAAAGATAAATGTGCAACTAAGTACCATTGGCTTTTACTTCAAAATGCCTCTTATATATTGCATTCATAACTCGGGGGCTGGGGGGTGCAACTCCTTGGCAGCCAACAAGCACAGGAATGGGTTTACGCTATGTGCACAGAATCCAAATTTCACTAAACAGAGGCTGACTGTTCTGAAGAGGTACATTTGTATAATTTGTTTATTTTTTAATAAGTGCTTGGCTCCTGCTAACCACAGTGATGGTCAAGGAACTATGCAGAACACTAACTTTTTACTTATATTTTGCCCCGGGTTCCTTTGGGAGGAAGAGTGGGGCATAATTTGAACAAACAAATAAATAAAGCCTAGCTTCCTCGGCCCATCTCCAAATCACTCCAGCAGTCAATGCTCACATGTCTCTAGACATATATATTCATGCCAATAAAGACCAAATACTTGAGTGTTGATGCTGTGTGGGCCCCTCCATCCTATGTTCAGGTTGCATATATGTGTAAATAAAACCATATATCCCAAAGACACCACAGTCTCTGATGGCCTCCAATCCAAGGAAACCGAAACCTGGGTAAGTGCAGCAACCCCTGGAGTCTTATCGCCACTCAGAGATTGGAGTAGCATGTAACAGCACTATTAAATCCTGGCTGGTTTTTCAGACTATTGCAACTTTGATATTGCAGCTCAGTGGCTGCCCTGGCAAATGGATCAGAATTTTTGCAAAGGCATTTGCATGCGCTTTGCACATTCCTCTGCTCTCCTTGATGACTGAAGTAGCTGAATGTTTCAGGGGGGGTAGCCCAAAGTGCAATGATCTGCTGACATAAACAACATCCTTATTTTGCATTGAGTTATGCACCAGCAGTGGTGGGGGCAATGGAGGGGAATTAGTAAAAAACAAAAAAGCTCTCCTGAAAGGATTGTGTCTGTATTTTGGACCATTATGCACAGTACTGTGTGTGTTACCCTGGTTGTTGGCTGAGACCATCCCAAATGTTGCTGTTTGAACAGTCGGGGCTGGCAGCCTCTGCTTCTGCTTCTTGTTGGTATCTGCTGACCATCTTGGACTGTCTTGAAAAGGAGAAAGAGCAGATTATAGCACACATAAGCATAGACCAGCACAAACATTTCGTTGGCAATTCAAAGCATGGATTCCAACAACTTACCTGTTTGCTGCATTTAGATTTCACCGAGTCATGACTATTATGACTTTGATGGGAACCCCTCCAAATCTGCATCCTTTTCTGCAGAGATGCATAAAGGTAAAGGGACCCCTGACCATTAGGTCTAGGCATGGCCGACTCTTGGGTTGCGGTGCTTATTTCGCTTTATTGGCCGAGGGAGCCGGCGTACAGCTTCCGGATCATGTGGCCAGCATGACTAAGCTGCTTCTGGCGAACCAGAGCAGCGCACGGAAACGCTGTTTACCTTCCCGCCAGAGCGGTATCTATTTATCTACTTGCACTTTGACATGCTTTCGAACTGCTAGGTTGGCAGGAGCAGGGACCGAACAACAGGAGCTCACCCTGTGGCGGGGATTTGAACTGCCGACCTTCTGATCGGCAAGTCCTAGGCTCTGTGGTTTAACCCACAGCACCACCCACGTCCCACTGCAGAGATGCATAGCCAGGGGCATATCATTACTGTAAAAGGAACTTGAGAAAGGCTGTGTTGGCATCGCAGGGGCAGAAAACGCAAGTTCCTTTTGGAAAATATCAGCTCACCTTTCAGGTACAGCTAACGCAGGATGATGAGATAACCAAGTAGATCATATATATTTTCCATGCATCCTCACAACCTTTGAATGTACTAGCCTAGCGGCTTGTTAAGAGTTAACAACTAAATGCAAGGAGTGTTCCAGCCCAGCAGATCTTAGAAATATATACGAGGAAGACTTTGGAACATATTTATTCCTCAGAGGATGGGCCGTGTCTCATTGTTCCTCCATGCCTTGCCAATTTCCTACTTGCCCCCAGCACTCTTTGAAGTTAACAAATTAATATTTAATTTATGTGGGTTTATATAGAAGCTGCTTGTTTAATTGCTACTTACCCAACCTCTTTTTTTTATTACAGCACTGGATGTTGATTAAAAGAAAGAAAGAAACTGAAACCATTTGCCCACAGACACTGAAATAGTTCATGATCAAACGGCTTCAGGGCTTCAGAGAGATATAGGTCCTCCTAGACCTCCTCCTAAACCTTTTTGGGCCAACGCCTCCCTGGTTCCATAAACTAACCTCCCATGTCCCAGACCCTATAAAAAGCATTATTCAGAAGAGCAGTTTGCACAACCCACCAAGGAAGGTAGTAACACAATGGAATTCAAAACAGTAATGATTAATTGAACAATTAATCCAAAATCCATTGGATGAACTTGATCCAGCGAAACCAGGTTTTCAAAGCCTGATAGCCATTTGCGACTCCAGCGTCCCTAGGGGGTGCTAGGATGCTTCCTACCACCCCCTAGGGAATCCCCCCCCAGGGGGCAGTACCACCCTAGACCAGTGGTTTTCAAAGGGTGCGTTGCGCCACCCTGGTGTGGCAGGAGAGGATGGAAAGTGTGGCAGGAAGATTCAAGGACTATCACAGAAACGTTTAAACATTTCAGTGTAGCATAGTAGCCAATTTTTATTCATTTATTTACAGAATGTGGATAGATACCTTTTCAAAACGAGAGCAAGAGCATCAAGTGATACTGCAAGCTGATACCTCTCATCAGGTTTGCATACATACTTAAAGTAGATATGTAAGAGGCTTGTTTATAATTATTTTTTGGGAATGATTCATGTTGTTACGTAGCTGCATTGGCTTATACTTCCTGGTTGTCCTGCAGTTGTGTTCTAAGCTATAAATCAAGCACTGCTAGGAGTTGTTTCTCCTTGTTTCCCACTGTATTTCTTATCAATAAAAAAAATTGGTGTGGAGCAAGCAAATGTTTATTCTGAAAGTGTGGCCCAGAGAAGAGGAAGAAAAGAGAACCACTGCCCTAGACCACCACTGAGGCAGCAGCACCCCATTTGATATGTTCTGAGCATAGGTTCCAGCTCTCTGGGGCCCTGGGTGCCCAAGCACCCACAAAATTCCCCATGAAAGGGATGGGCACCCTCAAATTTCAAGGCCATGCATGCTGCATGGCACACATGGCTCCAGGCACCCACAGTCGTGGTGCCAAGCTGGCGCTCCTGGTTCTGAAGTACACCATGGTGGCTGGTAGGGGTGGTGCCCCATTTACCCTAGTAGACCAGCTGGAGGAGGAGACTCTTGAGAGTCCCATGGACTGCAAGAAGATCAAACCTCTCCATTCTGAAGGAAATCAGCCCTGAGTGCTCACTGGAAGGACAGATCCTGAAGCTGAGGCTCCAAGACTTTGGCTACCTCATGAGAAGAGAAGACTCCCTGGAAAAGACCCTGGTGTTGGGAAAGATGGAGGGCACAAGGAGAAGGGGACGACAGAGGACGAGATGGTGGGACAGTGTTCTTGAAGCTACCAGCATGAGTTTGACCAAAGTACGGGTGCCAGTGGAAGACAGGAGGGCCTGGCGTGCTCTGGTCCATGGGGTCATGAAGAGGCGGACACGACTAAACGACTCAACAACAACAACAGACCAGCCTCCACTGAGTAATACGTCACTGAAAAAGTCCCCTTCGCGAGCTGTGGATTTTTCTTTTCTTTTTAAAAGAAGCTTGGTATTCTATGCCTCCCTTCCCTTTCTTTCTTTGTCCTTTTGTTGCAGCCCTTGTGTCTTGCACCCAGCTTCCTCTTCTCAAGATTGTTAGGCTGTTCTTCTAGACACTGTTTAACATTCCTCCCCCCTTGCTTTTTAGCCAAATTATTCTACATTTCTACACTGCCTGATGTATGTAAAACAGACTGCAGATCTCAAGGCTGTGCAGAAGTAACGCTGAATTGAAAAATCCTCAGTAAGGAAACCACCTCAGAGAGCAAGACATTTCACAGATTTTTCCAGCATCTCAAAAACACAACGGCAACCTTTACACAAAATGAGAGGCTATTCTTAGCCTCCAGGAGAAAAATAGGGGTTATTGAGGATTATTCTGATTCCTGTAAATACCTCCACATCTCCCAATTCAGTTTCTCTCTGCCACCTGCTGGTAACTTTTGCCTACGGTTTCTTATTTACACTTTCCCAAATTGCTGTTTTATCACTTCCACATCCTGCTAAATAAAGCTGCTGCAGCAGGACTTCCTGCAGATCTGGTGTGATGACCTCACTGGATAAAGTTTTAAAAGGCTAACTTCTCCCTCTTGCAGTCCTAACTTCATTATCTAACTCTTGCCTTGCCCAGTCATTCGCAGCCGTGAGTCAGCCCAGCCTACACTCGATGGGGTTAGAATCATAGAATCATAGAGTTGGAAGAGACCCCAAGGGCCATCGAGTCCAACCCCCTGCCAAGCAGGAAACACCATCAGAGCACTCCTGACATATGGTTGTCAAGCCTCTGCTTAAAGACCTCCAAAGAAGGAGACTCCACCACACTCCTTGGCAGCAAATTCCACTGTCAAACAGCTCTTACTGTCAGGAAGTTCTTCCTAATGTTTAGGTGGAATCTTCTTTCTTGTAGTTTGGATCCATTGCTCCGTGTCCGCTTCTCTGGAGCAGCAGAAAACAACCTTTCTCCCTCCTCTATGTGACATCCTTTTATATATTTGAACATGGCTATCATATCACCCCTTAACCTCCTCTTCTCCAGGCTAAACATGCCCAGCTCCCATAGCCGTTCCTCATAAGGCATCGTTTCCAGGCCTTTGACCATTTTGGTTGCCCTCCTCTGGACACGTTCCAGTTTGTCAGTGTCCTTCTTGAACTGTGGTGCCCAGAACTGGACACAGTACTCCAGGTGAGGTCTGACCAGAGCAGAATACAGTGGCACTATTACTTCCCTTGATCTAGATGCTATACTCCTATTGATGCAGCCCAGAATTGCATTGGCTTTTTAGCTGCCGCGTCACACTGTTGGCTCATGTCAAGTTTGTGGTCAACCAAGACTCCTAGATCCTTTTCACATGTACTGCTCTCAAGCCAGGTGTCCCCCATCTTGTATTTGTGCCTCTCATTTTTTTGCCCAAGTGCAATACTTTACATTTCTCCCTGTTAAAATTCATCTTGTTTGTTTTGGCCCAGTTCTCTAATCTGTCAAGGTCGTTTTGAAGTGTGATCCTGTCCTCTGGGGTGTTAGCCACCCCTCCAAGTTTGGTGTCATCTGCCCTCCCACTGAAGGAGCAGCTTCACAGCTTGGGGTCCTTCTGTATCCACTCTGTCCCCCCGGAGGCTCAGGTAGTAGCCTCATGCCAGGGCTGCAAGCGCCTTTTACTAACTGCAGCTGGTTCAACAGCAATGGCCGTTCCTGGGCTGGGGAAGCCTTGACGCAGCAGACCATGTGTTGATGGCTTCAAGACTCTATGCGAGGCATACTTCCCGCTTGATCCAGAAGCTGCTGTTGGTGCAGGATGCTGCAGCACGATTGCTGACAGGAGGGAGACCTTGATGCTAATCTAACACTTGTGCTCAGAGATCTGCACTGGCAGCCTATTTGCATCAGGGCCAAGTTCAAGGCGTTGCTGTTAGTATATAAAGCCCTTAACAACTTGGGACAAGCTTGCCTGTGAGATTGTCTGAACCTACGAGTGCCTAATTGGCAGAATTGGTGCTACTACAGGTGCCACACGATGCCTGTTCCACATTAGTAAGAACTTGACCCTTACGTGTGGCAGCACCTGCACTTTGGAACTCCCTGCCTATTGAGATCAAGCAGGTGCCTTCACTGTACAGCATTCCTGCTGAGATAAGCCTACCTACCAGATATCTAGAAAGTTGACATAATTTTAACCTGCTTTGATTTTATAACTTTTGTATGTGTTAAAGTAGGGTTGAGGTTTTTTTATTGCTTTTGTTGTTTTATCTTTTGTAAACCGCTTTGAGATTTATTTACTTTTACAACCAACCAGTGCATCTTATGAAATAAATAAAATAAATAAATTATGTTTTATGAAATAACTAAAATAAAGTTTGTGAAACAAAATAAAGAAATAAGTTCACATTCACATTCATTGAACAACACTGTTTCAGACGCCTGCTAAAAACCATCCTTTGAAGTTGGTTTGCAAACTACAATTGGAACAAACTGTGGCTTGGTGTTACACCTGAAACTATGGTTTGGGGAGGGTTCTCTATCCTTGGAGACCACTGCTGAGAATAGTATTTGGGGATTTTCATCTCAGAGAGAGCAAGGGAAGTGGGAAAGTACCCAAACCAATCTGTGACCCTGCCTTTAGCTGGATCAGGCCAACGGCCCATCTAGTCCAGCATCCTGTTCTCACGGTGGATAGCAGGATGCACTTTGTGGGAAACCTGGAAGCAGGATCTGAGCACGAGAGCAACTCTCCCCTCCTGCGGCTTCCAGCAATTGGCCTCAAATTGTGGAGGCAGAACATAGCCATCCTGGCTAGAAGCCATTGCCTGCCCTCTCCTCCTCTATGGATTTGTCCAATCCTTTTTTAAAGCCATCCAAGTTGGTGCCCATTGCTGCCTCCCCAGGCAGTGAGTTCCATAGTTTAACAATGTGCACTACTTGAATGTCAATTTGTCAAAGCGCACACGACACATTGCACATGTCTTCTCCCTTTTCCTTTCCTTTTTTAAATGTACGTATCTCTGTGGCAAACGCAAGAAACCTACTTAACAAAGGGCATGAAAGAAGTGCTGCTCTCTCCTTCCATAGTGCGACCGGCTGGTTTAAAGCCTTGAGGATCCGCTCTTCCGTTCTCCTACGTCTGACTCGCAGCGACACTTTCTGTCCTCTTGTCAGTTATCCTGGAAGGAATCGCAACCATCTGTGAGTCACACACGGAACACACAAAACCGGCATTTCATTCCTCTGTAATTTCCACCGTATACAGGGCTATTCCTCGGTGTACAACACAATAAGAGCTTGGCTGCAGGATGAGGCCAAAAAATTCATTTGGTCCAGCACCCTTTTCTCAGAACAGCCAAGCAGATACCCCAAAATGGAAGCCTAAGCACAAGAACCACTTGTGACTCCAAGTAACTGGGTCTCAGAGGAATGTGGCCTGTCTGGGACTTATGTTCACATGTGGTGGGGGTGCAAATATGTACAATTTCTTTTGGCAAAGGGTGTTTAAGGAGATAACAGAAACCACTGGGTTAAAGCTGACCGAAAGTCCAGAGGTAGCATTGTTATCGATTTACGATGGGGTGGAAGGTTCGCAGGCTAGCAAGGACTTGCTCACAAATTTATTGACGGCTGCAGGAGTCATTACAGCTAGGAAGTGGAAGGGGCAAGGGGAATATAAAATGGAAGAATGATATAAAGAGGTGTGGGATTTAGCTATTAATAGCATGCACTATTAAGGTAAGACGGGAGAAATGCAGGAGAAATGATTTTGAGGAGATATGGAAAGTATTTGTAGAATTTGTGCTGTTAAAGCGGAAAGGGGTCAAACCATCACAAGAGGTGTTGAAATTTTGGGAGGTTGGATAGTGACAATGGAATGGTCTTGGAGGTGTGTACACATTTTTATTATTTATTATTGTTATTTGTAATAATGATAAGAAGAAGTAGAAAAGAAAAGAAAAGTGGTCTGTGACAATGGAGGCCACTAGTAGCCTTATTTATTAGCCGTGAATTTGTCAGAACGGGTGGCCATCGTTACACTTTTTGGGAGCAGATTCTATCATTTATGTGCTATAAGACACAGTTTGGAAAGCTCTGCTATACACTGTGGGAAGCAGGGTTTTTTTATTATTATTACTATTAATTGAATTTATATACCACCCTATACCCAGGGTCTCAGGGCGGTTCACAGAATAAAAGGTTTTTTGCGACCCACATAACATAGCTACCACCCTGTACACAACGACAGCAGCACGGATATTATATTCCCAAGGATGGAAAGAAGGAGAGGTTCCAACAAAGGAAGATTGGCTTTTGAAAATGGTGGAGAACGTGGAACTGGAAATATGAGAGACCAAAATGCCAAAAAAATCCTTGAGGACTGGAAACCTTTTATTGACTATTTAAAGAACTGTTATAGCAAGATGAAAATGTGAGCAGGACTTGAAATATGAACATGAATTATTAAGATAAATAGGTTAAATTGTATGTATTTAATAGTATAGGCGAAATATGCACCATTTAAGGGTAAATATGGAAACCGTGGAAGGGGGGGGGACAGGAAGTCAAACGATAAAGTAACTTATGGTTTATGTTAAAATGTGTAAAGCTTTTTTTTCTTTGTGAAAAATTAATAAATGAGATTTTTTTAAACAACAGCAACCCATAGCTACTACCTTCCTCCTGTGAGGATTTAATGTTAAATCTGAACTATTAATAGGAAGATGACCTGTCCCAATGTATAAAATATGCCCCGTTCCCCTTTGGTGATACCTCAGTGAAATTATTGTTAGAGAATTATTTATTATCGCAATGGATCAGTTACATTATGGGTGGCGGTTATTGTAGGGCATCCTGTTGAAGGTCACCCCAATAAACACCCACCTATGGCAACCACCTAACACCTCACGACATGACCACCACCGCCATTTTTTTTAAGCAAAGACTTTTTCAATAAAATCCTGCTTCATTTTCTTGCCTGTTACCTTTGCCCAAGGCAAATAACCTTTTTGTACCCCTCACCCTCACTGTGACAAATCCCTAAAGGCAAGTATTTTCTTCATGGAAGCAGCTTCCAAAAAAATATTGCATTACGGTCTCTTCACGTTGATATTTCTCCTCATGCTAATAATGTCTGACAGGATGGCCTTTCACTCCATAGATAGATAGATAGATAAATAGAAAGAGTCAAGCATATTTTTTTGGCGATGTCTCTCAAGTATGCTAAAGGTACAAAGGTGACTCCATTTTGTGCTGGCCCAATTTCCCTCACAGATTTCCCTCAGGCTGCTCAAAAGAGGGAGGCGGGAAAAGGCGGGAAAAATGAAAGGCGCTGGATATTGGCTGTGGGAAGGGATAGAAAACAAGGCAAATTGCCACAGGGCAGCTTTTGTGGGGAAACATGAGGGACTTAGTGAGAAAGATAAGGAAATTAAAGGATGTGGGGATGACAGGAAAAACATGGTTCAAGGGGGAAAGTGGGGCATGTCTTTGTGGGGTGGGATAGCGCCTAAATCTCTTTTTGCCTCTCCTGGGCTAGCTCCTCCTCAGTCAAATATTCCCCATATTTTCCCTCAGAACAGACCGAAGGAACAACTTGGGCAGGCAGTGCGAGATGCGCTGTAATTATAAGCAGAGGGGGGACATTTTGGGTTGTGGGGGTAGAGGAAGATGGGGAGAAAATGAGGGAAACGGAGGCTGTGGAAAGGAAGAGGGGAAAACAATGGCCGGAGCGGAAGGAGGAGAAACAAAAGAAGAAGGGTGTGTGGCGGCCAAATTGTTAGGGGAAAAGGCTGAGGGGCAACTTTTACCAAACAGTAGGGAAGGGGCAGTTTGTTGTCAAATGTGTAGGAAAAAGTGAGGGAAACAGAGGCCGCCAGGGAGAGGATGAGGGAAACAATGGGGGCCATTATTCTCCTCGGATATGTAAGAGAAAACAGCCCTAAACGAGGGACTAACAAGATTGCTGCTGGTCAGGCAAACGGAAGAAGTAATTACTCAGATTATGTATGGGTAGTTTTCTAGGCTGAAGCCTAGAAATGGAGGAGTTTTTGTTTTGTATTTGGGGCTCGAGCACATTCGTACCCCGTTCCCTGCGCCCTCAGAGAATTCTGGGGACTGTAGTCTGTCGGAGGTGACTGGGAACAGCAGCTCCGTGAGGACTGAACTACAACTCCCAGAATTCTTTGAGGGAGACCTCCCCTGCCCGTTTGGTCCTCACAACAACCTTGTGAGGCAGGTGAGGCTGAGATGAGGACTGGCCAAAGGCCACACGCTGAGCTTCATGGCCGAGTGAGGATGATCCAAACTGGCCTCCCAGGTCCTAGTCGAAGACCCTCACCATTATACCAAAATGGCTCTCCAATAGGCTCTCAGGCTTTGCATGAAGATGCTTAGGAAATGTGGAGTGTTTTCCCCCCGGAGTGGCAAGTGTGTAGGGACAAGATCCCCCCCCCCCACAGTTTGCATTTCAGGGGGTTGGACTAGATGAACCTAGATGACCCTTCTAGCTGTACAATTATACATTCCTAGGATTTAGCCTGGGCTGGATGAATCCCAAACCGGAATTAAGATTGCCAGAAGAAATATCAACAACCTCAGATACGCAGATGACACAACCTTGATAGCAGAAAGTGAGGAGGAATTAAAGAACCTTTTATTGAGGGTGAAAGAGGAGAGCGGATAATATGGTCTGAAGCTCAACATCAAAAAAGAAGATCATGGCCACAGGGCCCATCACCTCCTGGCAAATAGAAGGGGAAGAAATGGAGACAGTGAGAGATTTTACTTTCTTGGTCTCCATGATCACTGCAGATGGTGACAGCAGTCACGAAATTAAAAGACGCCTGCTTCTTGGGAGAAAAGCAATGACAAACCTAGACAGCATCTTAAAAAGTAGAGACATCACCTTGCCAACAAAGGTCCGTATAGTAAAAGCTCTGGTTTTCCCAGTAGTGATGTATGGAAGTGAGAGCTGGACCATAAAGAAGGCTGATTGACGAAGAATGGATGCTTTTGAATTCTGGCGCTGGAGGAGACTCTTGAGAGTCCCGTGGACTGCAAGAAGATCAAACCTCTCCATTCTGAAGGAAATCAGCCCTGAGTGCTGACTGGAAGGACAGATCCTGAAGCTGAGGCTCCAAGACTTTGGCCACCTCATGAGAAGAGAAGACTCCCTGGAAAAGACCCTGATGTTGGGAAAGATGGAGGGCGCAAGGAGAAGGGGACGACGGAGGACGAGATGGTGGGACAGTGTTCTCGAAGCTACGAACATGAGTTTGACCCAACTGCGGGAGGCAGTGGAAGACAGGAGGGCCTGGCGTGCTCTGGTCCAGGGGGTCACGAAGAGGCGGACACGACTAAACGACTAAACAACAACAACAAGACTTAGCATCTGAGCGCAAAGCCTGCACCCACAATGAATGGCATTTTCCAGCTGACACAGCGGGTGCCAACTCCTGTCCATCTGTTTCCTGCTGCGGCCACCTCCGTGAGGAAATGCACAGGAGCGTTTCCTGCCCTACAGTTTCCTCCCATCAAGGGCTGTAGTCATTACCTGGGATTTGATTCCTGCACTGTTTGTTCTCCCCCCAGCAAACCTTCCCCCACAAGCCTCAGCCAGCAGCCGGTTTCCACTTTGTGTGCGAATTGTTGTAGCTGAGGGCAGCGCAGAAAGAACAAGAGGCCTCTGGCCAGACGAGAGCCCACCATTTCTTTAATTCATAGAGGGATGAGTCATAGATCCACCTAGAATCCTGTGTTCAGTTCTGGGCGCCACAATTTATGAAGGATGTTGACAAGCTGGAAGGGGCACAGAGGAGGGAGACCAAGAGGATTAAGGGCCTGGAAACCAAGCCTTATGATGAACGATTGAAGGAGTTGGGGATGTTCAGCCTGGAAAAGAGGATACTGAGAGGAGATATGAGAGCCATCTTCAGGTATCTCAAGGGTTATCACATGGAAGAGGGAACAAGCTTGTTTTCTCCTGCTCTGGAGGGGAGGACTCAAACCTGTGGCTTCAATTGACAAGAAAGGAGATTGCAACTCAACATCCGGAAGAACTTTCTGACAGTAAAAGCCGTTCAGCAGTGCAACGGGTTCCCTCCGAAGGTGGTGGGTTCTTCTTCCTTGGAGGTTTTTTAAGCAGAGTTTGGATGGCCACCTGTCTGGGATGCTTTAACTGAGATTCCTGCATCGCAGGGGGTTGGGCTGGATGACCTTCACGGCCCCTTTCAGGTCTATGGTTCTCTTATTCTAAGAACATAGCCATTGTGGCCAGAGTGGCGATTGATAGCCAGGGCCGGCCCAAGACATTTTGGCCCCTGAGGCGAACCACAAAATGGCGCCCCCTCCCTGCTAGGAAAGAAGGGGTGAGTGAAGATCTACATCAGGAACAAGGCTGGAGTGAAGGCTTGCACTGGGATCTGCTGCTCCTGTGAATCCTGTTGCCCGAGGCAGTTGCTTCACCTGGCCTAACAGGTGGGCTGGCCCTGTTAGTCATTTATTTGCCTAATAATATTTTAGAATCATCCAAGTTGGTGGCCATTGCTGCCTCCTGGCCTGTTAGGCTCTTCTATAAATCAGTGAGGGACGCGGGTGGCGCTGTGGGTTAAACCACAGAGCCTAGGACTTGCCGATCAGAAGGTCGGCGGTTCGAATCCCCGTGACGGGGTGAGCTCCCGTTGCTCGGTCCCTGCTCCTGCCAACCTAGCAGTTCGAAAGCACGTCAAAAGTGCAGGTAGATAAAATAGGTACTGCTCAGGCGGGAAGGTAAAAGCGAGATGACCCAGAGTCGGTCACGACTGGACCTCATGGTCAGGGGTCCCTTTACCTTTTTATAAATCAGTGATGTAGCAGTGGTAGTCGACTTTCCCATGTGAGAACGCAGTAAACAGGTTTACAAAGGAGTAGACAGTGACTCTTGTTCCTTTGAAAAGCTCAGGCTGCTCACATTTGGCATCCGCCTTTCTTTCCCCCTCACTTAGCAGTGCAAATGGATTCCAGCAGATGGCGCCCTACGCAGATTAACACAGCAGCACACCCCTGCCTTCCTTGTTGAGGCCCTTCCCGAAAAAGCATATAGATAAAGGTCACTCACAAGCTTTTTTGACAAAGAGCCACACCAAAGGCTCCTGAGTAAGCTTAGCAGTCGAGGAGTAAGAGGAGAGGTCCTCTTGCAGATCAGGAATTGCTTGATTTGCAGGAATAAATGGACAGTTCTCCGACTGGAGAGATGTAGGAAGAGGAGTCCACCTGCCCCAAGGATCCTCGGACCTGATAACGCCAAGGTAGCAGGATCGATCCTTGTAAGGGGGCAGCTGCACATTCCTGCATTGTGGGGGGTTGGACTGGATGACCCACAGGGTCCCTTCCAACTATGATTCTGTAATGATTCTATGATGACTCGATGGCCCCCTTTGGCCTGATCCAGCAGAGCTAATCTTGTGTTGTGCTCCTCCTGACTTTGCTGTGCTTTTTCCAGTAGTGGGCTGAGTTAGGGCAGGATTCCACCCCGCCCTCTGCTCCTCTGGTTTTGGCAGGTCTCCTTGGCAGTGTTGTCTGGAATAAAAGCTGTGCGGCAGTCAAAGGGGGGAAATGAACCTTTTTGTTCCCCTCGCCTTGTATATTTATCCGTTTCACACTGCCATAAAAATTTACAATAGGTGTGGGAGGTTGAAACATGTGGATAATTGGGGGGGGGACACCATTGGGAGCTTTTCCTTATGAATGTCCTTAACCTTCTACCCACATCCCATCTTTGCAGGCACAAAGATGCATCATTGGTGATATATATATAGAGAGAGAGAGAGCGGGAGAGAGAATAGCTTTTGTTGTTGGTGATTTATTTTTATCTTGCAAAGGAACAAGAGGAGAATCAGAGTTCTAAGGAAGAGGCCTACATGTGTTTTGCTTTTATTTAATAAAAAAACACACTAGTATTTTTAGGTATAAATTATGCATTTGAAATAAGAAGCGAGTTACAGTGGTACCTCGGGTTACATACGCTTCAGGTTACATATGCTTCAGGTTACAGACTCTGCTAACCCAGAAATAGTGCTTCAGGTTAAGAACTTTGCTTCAGGATAAGAACAGAAATCGTGCTCCGGTGGCGCGGTGGCAGCATGAGGCCGCATTAGCTAAAGTGGTGCTTCAGGTTAAGAACAGTTTCAGGTTAAGAACAGACCTCCGGAACGAATTATGTACTTAATCCGAGGTACCACTGTAATTTAGACAGAGTGATGGAGAGGGGATGAAGGCGCAGAAGAGCAACCCTAGTTCACCACATGCAATAGATGCTCAGCCCAGAAGAGGCGGTGGTGGAAACAGCCAAGAAGATGCAACAGCCAAATGCAACAAGGATTAGACATGCTCAGGAGCCGTGCAGGGAGGACAACACCCATAAGAACTCTCTTCCTTGAGCCAATGAACTCACCAACAACAGGGTTCCTCCGCCTCTAGCTCACATGCCTTGCATTAGAACACATACAGAATATTACCCCGCCTATTTTCACTGAAATTTTGTTTTAGTATGGGATGCCTTCTTACAATGTTGGGTGAAGGGTGGGCAAGAAATCAGAATAACGACAGTGGTGTTTGTCTGTCGTACGTAAATCAGCAAGTGGGCCAGTTCTTCGGAACGGTCAAGCATAATACTATGGCGTTCTAGGGGCCGATTTTTTGGCTCAATAACAATCATAATTTTATTATTTATATGCCGCCCATCTGTCTGGGTTTCCCCAGCCCGCCTTATGATGTTTTAAGGTCGTTCATGTTCCGATCTCTTAGAGGTTTTATACGTATTATCTACCCACCACCTTAGGGTTTCTGCAGGAAGGGTGATCCAGAAAGAGCAACAGCAATACTGTTGTTAAGTTATGGGTGAACATATCAGACGACACAGCTTTGGTGCGTAGTGGTTGAGGAGCTTGTCTTGAATCCTGTCCCACAGCGCTGCCTGGAGTGCTAGAGGCGCAACCAATGCTCGGGCCGTCTTGAACACTTTGGGGCCACAAAGGCTGAGAGCTCATGCTCTACAGACCCTCCTGTCAGCTCATTTGCTTGGAGGTAGCAGTCAAACCGAGCGAGGTAGGAGTCCCATGATTCAGAGGCTGGGGCAAACGGCGGTAGAGGCACGAGTGAAGCCATGGTTCCAATGCCAACGTGGTGGGCGATGGATGGAACACAGTGCTCTAGCCAGACGGTGAGCTCTGAATTGGTTCTGTTCAGTGATTCAGCTCAGCTCAGAGGGTGGCTGCATCTGGCTGTGCTCTGATGTCCATCAATCCCACCTTCGTCGCCAGTGTTAAGTTGTGGGTGAACATATCAGACAACACAGTGATTCTTCAGACAGCTCTTGTTTATTCACAGGCCAGAACAGAACTGAACTGAACTGAAGGGTTGAGTCAGCCTGCTTATATAGAGCTCAACTACAATGCAACAGTAACCATTTTCTGTAACTATCCAATCACTGAACATCACTTTCAATTCCTTATTTGCATATGTGGACCTGAGTGAAAACTGTCTATAGTATCCCCCCTGCTGGCCCAGGGTGAGAACATCAGTATGTACATAACAACTATAGTAAAAAAAATTCCTTCCAGTTGTTATTGGTACGAACTTTCGTGTGTATCTGAAGAAGTGTGCATGCACATGAAAGCTCCTACCAATAACGAACTTAGTTGGTCTCTAAGGTGCTACTGGAAGGCTACCTACCTGTAACTAGTAAAAAAAATGTTATTGTTTTGTGGCACCTAGAACCTCCTCGTCCTTCTCCGAGGGGGCGCATGCAGCCCCTCTCCCCTTGGGGCGCCGGGCGAGAGCCTGCCCCGCTTGCGCGCATCGCCCTGCGCCCTGGACGGCCTCGGAGGGAAGCAGCGCCCTTCTCCATCCTCCCTGGCTCTCCAAGCGCGCAGGGCGCGTTGCCCTTTTAAGAAGTGCCCACCTCCCAGGGAGGGGCCAGGAAACTTTTTCCCGTCTCGCGACATTCCCGAGCCCGTCTCCTCTCTCCTCCCCCCGGGCCCCCTCCCCTCCCTCCCCGGGCCGGTCCTCTCCCGCGTGCTCCTCCCCGATTCCCCTTTGCCCTGCCCGGCGGGCGCCGGCAACTGTGGCGGCGGCGGCGGCGGCTGCTGCTGCTCCACCTCGCCACCATTGCGGGCCGGGGAGGGCGCCCCATTGAAGGCCCCCCCCCCGAAGATCGCCCCATACCCTTCCCTTCCCCCGGCGGCGGCAGTGATGCAGCATCCGCAGCCCTAAGAGCGAGAAAAAGTTCGGGGGCGGAGGGGGAAAGGAACAGAAAAAAGCCAAAGGCTATATAAAGTTGGGCGTTGCAGCGGCGGGGAAAGGGGCGAAGTTTGGCGGGGCCCCCTGCGCAGGAAGGTGAGCGCTTCTGGGGGGGGGATGCGAGGGTGAGGGGGGTGGCGCATCCCCGGGGAGAAAGAGAGGCGGGCGGGCAGCGCCTTGTATCGGAATGCCGGGGGAGGCCGAGCGGGAGCGCAGGGCGCAGGGATCCCCTCCAGGGCGCCCCTCCTGCGCGCCAGGCGGAGAGCCCGTGCCCGGCGGCGCCCCCAAGAAGGATTCCTGCAACGCAGGAGGATCTCCTTCGCGGGGAGCGGGAGCAGGAGGGCGGCTGGAGTCCGGGCTGGGTAGGGGAGCCGAGGCTGCTTTCATCCGGAGAAGCTGGAAAGCGCAGGAGGATGGGAAGCGGGAGGTTGGGTGCGCAGAGAAAACTTCCCCTATTTTCCCCTTTTCATCTTGCTGCTTTGGCGGAAAAGGA